TCTTTATTTGTAACCAAGGGTGTTCAGAAGCCAATGGTAAAAGCAGCAGCATATATACCTGATTGTGTTAGTTGAGTACCTAGGCTAACTTTGTTGGGCTTATGGACAAATTGGACTTAAGAATGAACACGCTCTCAGAACAGAGCTCATTCATATGTCGGGGACTTACTGTATCATGTTAACATAAAGACTATTAACCAGAAAAATATTAGAGTAGATCAATTAAAACTAAATACCACAGAAAAGTCTAAAAAGATTAGTTTGGAAAAATCCAATTAATGCAGCAATCGGTAATTTAAAAAGGGGGGGTTCTGATGTAGCATCATGCAAAATTCCTGAAAAATATCTTAAAAAGTAGTAATGCCTACGTAAAATGCAGAAGATCCACCAGTGCAATGTCACCATAGGCCATTTTTTAAAGCCACTGTGTTTTTGAAAAAAAGATCTCTATCTCACACCATAGAAAAGTAAACAATCTCCCTATCATATGGAAAATTCCTAAAACTTTAGAAAAAAAAACCAATAAAACTACGGAGAAATAAGACTGGCTGAAGATATATTAGACTTATTATAATATTAGAATATATAATCTATTCTATATTTAGTAGAAAAGGAAAAAAATGCTGCTAAACATGTGAAAAGATGTTCAGATTCCTCAAATTCATTTACAACAAGAGAAATGCAAACTAACCACATTAAATTTGGTGGACTTACTGCAACTGCCCCTTCAGTGAATCATGCCTCCAGATGGTAGTGCTTTTGTGAGGTTCCCTGCACTGGGACTTTGGTCTGAGTCCTGGGAATTGCCTAGCCATTAGGACATCAGAAAATGTGACGCATGTTTGGGATCAGCTCCCGGAGGGTTGCTGCCACCCTGTAAAAATGTTCAGTGTGGCTTTTTTGGGAATGATAGACCACATGGAGAGACACAATCCATTTTCCAAGGAGATCCAGCAGACCCAGTCCCAGGAAACCTCCAGCTGAATGTAGTTATATGAGTAAACCTAGGAAAAACCAGAACTTCTCAGCCACCTCCCAGAGTGATGCACCATACTGATGCATGGTTATTTCAAGTCAGTGCTTTTTGGGGGGCAGTGAGAATGTTAGTCACTCAATTATGTCCAACTCTTCGTGACCCTATGGACTGTAGCCCACTGGGCTCCTCTGTCCATGGGATTTTCCAGGCAGGAATACTGGAGTGGGTAGCCATCCCTTCTCCAGGGGATCTTCCGAACCCAGGGATTGAACCCAGGTCTCCTGCATTGCAGGTGGATTCTTTACCGTCTGAGCCACCAGGTAAGCTTGGGGGCGGGGGTTGTCACATAGAAAGAGATCATCCACATCCTGAAATGCCATTTTCAGGTACAGAATTGAGAGAAATCCATGTTTCACAACTCACTTTAGTATAAGCTATGGGGAAAAGTGAACTCTCATACACTGTTGGTGGGATAGAAAATTCATATACTTCTCTGTAGAAGGCAATTTGGCAATACCTACTGACATTTCAAAAGCTATTCCCCTCAACCCAACAATCATATTTTTAGAGAATTATTCTACAGATATATTTACACAGGTGCAAAATTATGTATGTAATGAACGTACAAGTTGATTTATGCAGTACTTGATGTAACAGCAAAAGATAAAAATAACCCAAAGGTTTATGAAGTGGAGTCTGGTTAAATACACAATGGAATTATGATCTGTAAATTAATAAAAAATCAGGAATCCTTCCCTGTGTTTATATGGAAAGAACATAAAGACATCATTAAGTGATAAAAACATACTGTAAAATGATGAAAATGGCCTGCCACATATTATGTATTAAAAAAAAAAAAGAAAAATCTATGTTTGTATGATTGAATGGGCATTTTAAAAACTTTGGAAGATAAGTCTATCTGTGGTGTTTTGTGGGTTGGGCGCTTGGGATTTAAGCTGATAGAGAATGGGGCATGTGAGAGACTTATCTGTATTATATTTTTATATCTGAGGGACTATATAAACATAAATATGTATTTTGTAAATTTAAAATAGCTCTCTGAAAAACTTTAATGTTTGCATAATATGCTGAGACGTTTATCTAATGAAATGAAGCCCGTGGTTATTACCAATTTGATGCTACTGTAAACAATACTGCAGCAAGCATTTTTGCAGGATTATATCTATAAGTCCTTTTTAAATCCCTCTCATCTAGGAGACCTGACTTCGGTAAGAATTCTCACCCTTTGCCAGCTTCCACCAGCTTTCCAGGATCTCATCATAGCACACGGTTGATGCTGACACGAGGCCCCTGCACAGAACCTGTGAAGGAGCATGTGAGGCTGTGAGTCAGCTCGTTGCATTAAGTGCCTGATTAAGGGTTCCCCCTGCACATCCTCGGGAGACTGGGCCAGTCCTCTGCCGATGCGCACGGTGACGCCTTCACCCTGAGCAGTGTGTGCAGGGGCTCCACGACCGCCTCCTCTCCCTGCAGCCAGCATCTCCTGGTCGGCAGGCCGCCCTGCTGCTGCTGGACCTACGTTGGCTCCAACTGGGAGAGAGCCAGGAGTCCCCCTAATTAACCTGGGGCAGCCCCCAGAATGATGACCACCGGGCGCAGGAGTATGCGTCCTCTCACTCCTGTGGTACCCGACTGGATGAATCTGAAGGCGTGAGTTCCATCACACCACCATCCCCGGAGCCCCCCAGACAGCGGAGGCGGGGGGCCCTCCCCGGCCTCGCCTGCATCCTTCACATCCTGCTCACCCGTCCGCCTCCCTTGTTGCTTCTCCTGATCACACTCACTAATGAGTCACTGTCACATGACCGCTTGTCTGAGGCTGTACTTCGTGGGAATCCAGAGACATCATCTGTTATTTCAATAGCATTCCACTGGCCCCCTGTTAAACTGAAAATTATGGAGCTGTGCAAACCACTGAGGCTAGGAAATAAAGGAGCAAAATTATCAAATATAAATGTATATACGTTATCTCTTTCGCCATGTTTCTGGCACACGGAATTGATCAAAGGCAAGCAGACGAGGTTGTTGAATGTACTTTGCTATTTAAGAAACTATCAGCACGACCTTCAAGCCCGCAGCTATTTGACGCACGAAGCAGCCGGAGGACTCCCGTGGCTGCAGGAAGAAAACTCTCCCCAGTGCCCGTTTCAGAGGGGGCCACGGCGTATGAAACGGAAGGAAAAACTCCCAGAGCAAACACCCCAAACTGCTGAAGAGAACGGTCTCCAAACAAACGAACAACTACTAAATGTTCTGTGGACCAGGAACTCGCCTGCGGGCCGGGACCAAGGCTGGTCAGAGTCCTGGCCCAGGAGACACAACTGTTCTGAAGAGCAACCGCCGAGTGTTCCCGGTTCCGCACCTTCTGCAAGGAAATGTTTTTATTGCACAAGTTCTCTGCCTGCTTCATTCTCCGTCATTCTAAATTGGGCATAGTAGGGATTAAGACTGCGGCAAACTCCTTGTTTTCTAGTTTTCAGGTAGCAGAGCAATGAAAGGACACGCTAAGAACAGAAAACTCACAAACCCAAAGATCTTAAACCTGGGGTCAAAGGCAGCAACTCGATGGGACTCTGACTCCTTTGGGTAGGAGCTCGTGATTGCGTTCCCAAAGAAGCTTGCAGAGCTGGTTCTAGTTCTCCATCCATATCTGTCTTCCGTCTTCCTGCTCTCTACCTTTAGTAACAGAACCTCTCACCCTAAACGGGGTGTGGGCGTAGCTTGATCTCCCACCTAAAGACACTTCCCAGCCCCTGTGCAGACAGGTCAAGCCGCAGAGGTTCTGACCAAGAGGATATAAATAGGAATCGTGAGTTTGACTTTCAGCTGATGCCCTCAGTAAAAAGGCTGTGTCTTCCTTTGTCCTTTTCTCTTCTTTTTACGGCTAGAATATGCTTGTGCTAGTGAGAGCGAAGGAGCATGGCCACATCAGACCTGGCTGACCTACGTGACAGGAGAGAGAATGAATCTGTCGTTTTAAACCACCTTTACCGGGCTCTTGATTTGGCTGTTTAGCTAGTATCCTAAAGAAAAAGAATGAATGTGCATGCACTCCTGAGTTTGAACTTACACTAACACGTGACCCACCTTCTTACCTCTAACTAAGGAAGTATCAGTTGCAAATAGAATTTAGTTCTCTAGGTTTCCCAGACCCAATACTAGCAGGTGTCTACTTTCTTCCTGCTTCTTTGAACCTAGGAAGATAAAAAAGGTGTGCATCCATTACTTGAGGCTACCAGGGATAGATTTCCAACTTATCATAATAAACTACTACCAAAATAAGTTGCATAATGATAAACTAATGTTTCTAAGAGCTTTCTTTATATTTCCTTTTTCAATCCTAATACCTTATAAGGTATATGCTATTACTATTCCTGTTTTACAGACGAGGAAACTGAAGCAGAGAGGTAAATAACATCTGGGATTAGAATCCAAGCAATCTATTTCTGCTTTGCAAAGGAATTCCTTTGTGTGGGGGATGGTGAATTAGGAGACTGGGACTGACAGAGACACACTACTCTGTCTATTTCATTTCATTTTTTTTATGCTTTTTTCTCATTTATTTTTATTAGTTGGAGGCTAATTACTTCACAATATTGTAGTGGCTTTTGCCATACACTGACATGAATCAGCCATGGATTTACATGTGTTCCCCATCCCGATCCCCCCTCCCGCCTCCCTCCCCATCCCATCCCTCTGGGTCTTCCCAGTGCACCAGCCCTGAGCACTTGTCTCATGCATCGAACCTGGGCTGGCGATCTGTTTCACACTTGATAGTATACATGTTTCAATGCTGTTCTCTCAGATCATCCCACCCTCGCCTTCTCCCACAGAGTCCAAAAGTCTGTTCTATACATCTGTGTCTCTTTTTCTGTCCTGCACACAGGGTCATCGTTACCATCAAATAGACAAGCAGCAAGGGCCGACCGCATAGCACATGGAACTCTGCTCGACTCTGTGATAACCTGCCCGGAAAAGGATCGGAAAAAGAGTGAGCACACACATGTCCATAGCTGAATTGCTCTGCGGAACACCTGAAACCAACACAACGTCTTTATTGGTGAGTTAAAAGGGGTGGGTATGTTTCTATTTTTGTGTTGGGGTCATTTTACTTGGCTTCTGCTCCAAAGAGGTGATGAAGAGAATCTGAAAACCTCAATAAAAGAATAGTTTTCAGTTTTGTTCTTCCATTCCTCAGAAAGTAAGTCACCTCTCTAAGATGATTTTTCTCTTAGTGTTCAGATCTCCAGCCTCCTGGAAGGGCTGACTCCTGTTAAGTGGCATTACAGACCATTTCCAATGCAGAGGGCCAGCTTAACCTACTCAGGAGAAAGTAAAAACATGTGTTAAATTGAATCAGCCAGTGGGCCTTAAAGTGATGATCCAGTTTAGAATCAAAGAGATCTTCAGCAAAGGAGACAAAGAATCATGAAAGAAGTTAAGCAAAATACATGGAAGTTGCTTTAGCCTGGGAGAAGAAACATGATTATTATTCCAAAAAGGTTGTAAAGAAGAGCTGAAAAAAATCCCAAGTAAAGTTGGGAATAAGAGTATACATTAAAATCAAATGTCTTTCAATGTAGAAATGCACTGAAATGTCAAATGTACATTAATTATCTAGGATCCACTTTGATGATGTCCTATTGTGAATTCATTTGTCAGACTGCAAGTTAGCAGCCCCAGAAGGAAGCCATCAAATGTGTAACAGACAGGGAGATTTGGCAGGCAGGCAGGGAAACTTTAGCCAAGCCAACACTAAACCACTTAAGGAAATGTAGAACTTAAGAATGTCCAAAGTAAGTCCCGGAACTCAAGACCTGGCAGATTTAGGCCCCAAGGACAAAAGTATATTTTTCACTTACATTTGCATGAATATGACTCTTTGGAAACTGACCTAATTTAAAGCAGGTTTATATGTTTGACAGTTTTCTCTTCCTTGCATAAAGCATTTCATTTAGTATTAGGAAGTGCTCTCTCTGGTTCTGGCATGCAGGACGCATCGCAAAGAATCCTACAAATGTTGTTGTGGTTTTTTTTTCCTTTTTATTAAACACATTATTTTAGCTACAAAGACCCTTATCTAAACAAAATGCACCTGCCAACAATGACTTAACTTCCCAAGTTGCTTAAGAAAGTCGATGGAGACTTGCAAACTTCAGGGGATAAAATTTAGACAATTCAGGTTTGGTTACACGACACCAGAGGGCTTACTTCCTGTTCCCTGGTCCTCAGAGAAACAGATACATCCGGCCATAATGCTGGCCTGTAGAGTGGCCACAGCACAGCCTCCTACTCCATAGGAGACTGGGAAGGTTATGTTCTGGATGGCTCTGATTTGACTGTTAGTAGTTAAGATAAATGACTCTTAGGAAGATGTCCTGAATATACCTTGTCGAGCAGATGCCAGTTGTTTAGATTGGGACTTGAGGAGATGTTATTTCTGCAAGTGAGTGAGCAGGCTGACCCAGAAAGTGGCACGTGCTCTCTGGACTACCCCAGTAACTTGAAAGTGAGTGAGAATTACTTGACACTCACTAACTATAACTAGGAAATAAATACTCTGCAATTTAATAATTCAACGTCCTGAAACGAGGAGGACTTTAAAAAAGATCTCCTTACCCTTAAAGGAAAAATTAAGATATTGATTGTGTGTTCATCTCCACAGTGACTCTTTTTCAAAGCATTAAAACTATTAAACTAGTCTTCCACATTTGTTTAACTTTCTTTGGAGGGGAAGAAATAAATAAAATTCTCTTTATTCACAGACAAACTGATCACCTTTTTAGTTAATCCAATGAAATCTCTGAAGAGCTACTAGAACTGACGAATAATTTACCAAGATTGCACGATATAATATCCACATCCAGAAATCAACTGTATTTCTGTGTACTAGCAACAAACAAGGAGTAACTGGAATTATAAAAACACTGTTATTTTTCGTCATTATTTCTTTTATTTGTTTAATCTCCATTTTTTCCAAATGATTCTTTTTTCCTACCATATACTTAATTTTGTTTCTACTCAATAGCCTTCAATAGGACGTATCTCAACCTTTAATGAATTTTTTCAAACAAATGTTCTGGGAAGTCCTTAGACCAGTGCTGTCTAGTGGAGTGTTCTGAGATGAGGAGGACCAGTGCTGTCTAGTGGAGTGTTCTGAGATGAGGAGGACCAGTGCTGTCCAGTGGAGTGTTCTGAGATGAGGAGGACCAGTGCTGTCTAGTGGAGTGTTCTGCGATGAGGAGGACCAGTGCTGTCCAGTGGAGTGTTCTGAGATGAGGAGGACCAGTGCTGTCCAGTGGAGTGTTCTGCGATGAGGAGGACCAGTGCTGTCCAGTGGAGTGTTCTGAGATGAGGAGGACCAGTGCTGTCCAGTGGAGTGTTCTGAGATGAGGAGGACCAGTGCTGTCTAGTGGAGTGTTCTGAGATGAGGAGGACCAGTGCTGTCCAGTGGAGTGTTCTGAGATGAGGAGGACCAGTGCTGTCTAGTGGAGTGTTCTGAGATGAGGAGGACCAGTGCTGTCCAGTGGAGTGTTCTGAGATGAGGAGGACCAGTGCTGTCCAGTGGTGTGTTCTGCGATGAGGAGGACCAGTGCTGTCCAGTGGAGTGTTCTGAGATGAGGAGGACCAGTGCTGTCCAGTGGAGTGTTCTGAGATGAGGAGGACCAGTGCTGTCCAGTGGAGTGTTCTGAGATGAGGAGGACCAGTGCTGTCCAGTGGAGTGTTCTGAGATGAGGAGGACCAGTGCTGTCCAGTGGAGTGTTCTGAGATGAGGAGGACCAGTGCTGTCCAGTGGAGTGTTCTGAGATGAGGAGGACCAGTGCTGTCCAGTGGAGTGTTCTGAGATGAGGAGGACCAGTGCTGTCCAGTGGAGTGTTCTGAGATGAGGAGGACCAGTGCTGTCCAGTGGAGTGTTCTGAGATGACGAGGACCAGTGCTGTCCAGTGGAGTGTTCTGAGATGAGGAGGACCAGTGCTGTCCAGTGGAGTGTTCTGAGATGAGGAGGACCAGTGCTGTCCAGTGGAGTGTTCTGAGATGAGGAGGACCAGTGCTGTCCAGTGGAGTGTTCTGAGATGAGGAGGACCAGTGCTGTCCAGTGGAGTGTTCTGAGATGAGGAGGACCAGTGCTGTCCAGTGGAGTGTTCTGAGATGAGGAGGACCAGTGCTGTCCAGTGGAGTGTTCTGAGATGACGAGGACCAGTGCTGTCCAGTGGAGTGTTCTGAGATGAGGAGGACCAGTGCTGTCCAGTGGAGTGTTCTGAGATGAGGAGGACCAGTGCTGTCCAGTGGAGTGTTCTGAGATGAGGAGGACCAGTGCTGTCCAGTGGAGTGTTCTGAGATGAGGAGGACCAGTGCTGTCCAGTGGAGTGTTCTGAGATGAGGAGGACCAGTGCTGTCCAGTGGAGTGTTCTGAGATGAGGAGGACCAGTGCTGTCCAGTGGAGTGTTCTGAGATGAGGAGGACCAGTGCTGTCCAGTGGAGTGTTCTGAGATGAGGAGGACCAGTGCTGTCCAGTGGAGTGTTCTGAGATGAGGAGGACCAGTGCTGTCCAGTGGAGTGTTCTGCGATGAGGAGGACCAGTGCTGTCCAGTGGAGTGTTCTGCGATGAGGAGGACCAGTGCTGTCCAGTGGAGTGTTCTGAGATGAGGAGGACCAGTGCTGTCCAGTGGAGTGTTCTGAGATGAGGAGGACCAGTGCTGTCCAGTGGAGTGTTCTGAGATGAGGAGGACCAGTGCTGTCCAGTGGTGTGTTCTGAGATGAGGAGGACCAGTGCTGTCCAGTGGAGTGTTCTGAGATGAGGAGGACCAGTGCTGTCCAGTGGAGTGTTCTGAGATGAGGAGGACCAGTGCTGTCCAGTGGAGTGTTCTGAGATGAGGAGGACCAGTGCTGTCCAGTGGAGTGTTCTGAGATGAGGAGGACCAGTGCTGTCCAGTGGAGTGTTCTGAGATGAGGAGGACCAGTGCTGTCCAGTGGAGTGTTCTGAGATGAGGAGGACCAGTGCTGTCCAGTGGAGTGTTCTGAGATGAGGAGGACCAGTGCTGTCCAGTGGAGTGTTCTGAGATGAGGAGGACCAGTGCTGTCCAGTGGAGTGTTCTGAGATGAGGAGGACCAGTGCTGTCCAGTGGAGTGTTCTGAGATGAGGAGGACCAGTGCTGTCCAGTGGAGTGTTCTGAGATGAGGAGGACCAGTGCTGTCCAGTGGAGTGTTCTGAGATGACGAGGACCAGTGCTGTCCAGTGGAGTGTTCTGAGATGAGGAGGACCAGTGCTGTCCAGTGGAGTGTTCTGAGATGAGGAGGACCAGTGCTGTCTAGTGGAGTGTTCTGAGATGAGGAGGACCAGTGCTGTCTAGTGGAGTGTTCTGCGATGAGGAGGACCAGTGCTGTCCAGTGGAGTGTTCTGAGATGAGGAGGACCAGTGCTGTCCAGTGGAGTGTTCTGAGATGAGGAGGACCAGTGCTGTCCAGTGGAGTGTTCTGAGATGAGGAGGACCAGTGCTGTCCAGTGGAGTGTTCTGAGATGAGGAGGACCAGTGCTGTCCAGTGGAGTGTTCTGAGATGAGGAGGACCAGTGCTGTCCAGTGGAGTGTTCTGCGATGAGGAGGACCAGTGCTGTCCAGTGGAGTGTTCTGCGATGAGGAGGACCAGTGCTGTCCAGTGGAGTGTTCTGCGATGAGGAGGACCAGTGCTGTCCAGTGGAGTGTTCTGAGATGAGGAGGACCAGTGCTGTCCAGTGGAGTGTTCTGAGATGAGGAGGACCAGTGCTGTCCAGTGGAGTGTTCTGCGATGAGGAGGACCAGTGCTGTCCAGTGGAGTGTTCTGAGATGAGGAGGACCAGTGCTGTCCAGTGGAGTGTTCTGAGATGAGGAGGACCAGTGCTGTCTAGTGGAGTGTTCTGAGATGACGAGGACCAGTGCTGTCCAGTGGAGTGTTCTGAGATGAGGAGGACCAGTGCTGTCCAGTGGAGTGTTCTGCGATGAGGAGGACCAGTGCTGTCCAGTGGAGTGTTCTGCGATGAGGAGGACCAGTGCTGTCCAGTGGAGTGTTCTGCGATGAGGAGGAC